AGAAATGCTCTTTGATTTAAAGCTTGGTTTCACCACTCAACTGTCTGGATAATATTACCTTCTTCTTAAAGTGGAAATAATAATAATAATAATAATAATAATAATGTGGAACACTAAGCTTTTAAATAACCCATATAACTTGCCTTTCACTGGACTAACTCAATATATCCTTAGGATTTGGCAGGTTTGAAGTCTGTCATTTTCTACTAGGTGGACAATTATACCCATCTAATCTTGGCTGCTCTACAGCAAGAGAACCCACTGTTACTTCTTGCACAGTACCCTTGCATGCTCATTTGATGGTCCACTAGTCTATCATACTGAGGGTCCTCAGAAGGGAGCTGACATCTAGGCTCTAGCTTCAAGCCCTCCCAGGCCCTTTAGTAGAGTTGGTGATACAGGGGGCACTGTCTTTATTCTATGTGCAATATTTCTCTCCAGTGATTATTATTTTCCCAGATGAGAGAATTAAATGTATACACATAGAGGAGAGGGGTGCCAAGCAGAATGAAAGAACATTTATACCAGACTGAAGTCAGCACAGCCCTGGATGTCAACATCACACAGCCAATACATTGTTTTGCTTATGCTAGCTTGAGTTTACATTCTGAAGCCTGCCATTTAAGGAATGTTTTCTAATCACACAGATGAAAGTCAAAAAAATGTTTTCTGAAATCTGATGTGTCAACAAAAATAATGTCCAGAATTAAGTAAGCTCTACTGAAAGAGTGAAAAGGGCACAAGGGTTATGAGGAATGAAAACAAAAAAAGAAAAAGAAAAAAAAACTCCTTTTTAAAGACGGTCAGTCAATGTTCCTGTAATGGTCATTATTACCTCCCATCTCAGAAAAACATAAGCAGATTTCTGAACTAGTAAATATCTGTGCAAAGCCACGGGAAAAACAATTAAGGAAGAAACTGACTAGATATTCAAGAAGCAAGCAAGAGGAGAAGACCTCTGAATATGGGAAGACAATTGCCTTCCTGAGCACAGGAAATCTAATGTGTAACAAGTAGGACAGACAGACAGCAGGACATTACCTAATAAAAAAGGCACCTAATGTTTTACCAAAGCATACCTACTTCTAAAAACCTTTCTTGAAGAGAGATTCATTAAAATGTTTCCTTATGAGAGCAGAAGCATACTATTTTCTTCAAATAATAGTATGTAATCATCAATAAAACTCCTGCCAAATATTTTATATCTATATACCTATATATTTACATATACACACATATATATGTACACACACATATAAACTTCTGTTTAAAATAGACTCACAGGGCTAAGAAAGCCAGGTCTTATTCCCCATTACTTACTGCTAGTTCAGCATAAATGTCATTGTTACAGTTTGAATGTAGCATGTGGCAGGTTCCTGACAGTGCATGTGTCTGGATAATTTGGTCCCAGTTGGTGGTGCTGATTGGAAGTGAAAAGTCTGCAATGTAGACTCTAGCCGACAGAAGTGGGACACTAAGGTTGGGCCTTTGAATGTTACACTTGCTTCTGGCGTGGGCCTATACTCTCTGTGACCTGACCACATGTAAGGAGCTACCACCTCACACTCACATCCCTTGATGTACCATGCCCCCCGTAACCATGACTCAACATAAACTTTTCTCTCAAGTTATTTGGGTACAACATTTTGTCACAGCAATAAAACGTTACCAATACCAGTAATGCAATCCAACATACATCTGTAGAGAGCTTTTTATGCAAAAATATTTTGATAAATACAAGAGGGGACACTAAAGTCAACTAATCCTTCCACTCAAAGAACTCATACTACAATTAAGAAGGTGAGAGATATAACGATAACTTATCATCTAAAGGAAAACATCTCTAATTAGCATAAAAAGAAAAATAAAAGTTGGGTGAGAATTTCTCAGTCATTTAGGTCTGGGTAGTGGTTCTGAAAGTGGAGTGAGAGGAAGAATGAATCATGTGGAAAGCTTGCTATAGCCCAGGCAGTGGGGCACACTCAAGAGTTTTTAAGAAGTTTGCAGAAGCCACTGACATTGCTTGTATGAGGACCATCCTTTAAGAACTCTAATTTAGGAATTGGTCTTGAATTCTGTCTATACATTAAACGCCTGGGTATCTTTTGAAAAGTCTGCTGCCCCAGATGCATTCCAAGTCTATGATAAATGAATATAAAGAGGACTGTAGCAACATGAGAAGATGAATCATAGGCACAGCTTTCTCGGGAGCTGGAAAGCAGGGAAGGCAGATGCTAATGAAGAATGAGGAGTCAAGAGAGGGCAAGTATGAGGCACATTTAGGAAGGAGAACATGACTGATGCATCTCTAGAGAAAGGAAGTATAGGGTTAGGTCGTGAAAGAGCTTCATTTCCAAGCTAAGGAGCCTGATATTTCTCTTGGAGGCAACAAGAGATCATTAAAGACCTCCAAATAGGAGGCTGGCATGGTCTGGAGGCACACTCCTGAGTGTATGAATACACAACTGGTGCTTCGAGACAGGGATAAATAGGATGTCTCAGCAGTGGTCCATTTTCTAAAAATGAGTCTACGGATGCATGCTCAAGGGCGTGTGTTCTATAGAAATGCTTCAATTTTAGAACTAGTTTGAAGACAACCTAGAGATAGATTTCACCAGTTAGGAAGACAAAATTCTCCTCTAACAATCATCAATGGAAAGATTTTTCTCAAGACTGAACTTAAGTTTCCTAAGACAATGCTTCTTAGTTGGGGAATTAGGGACAAACTGATTACGGATTTAAGGTTAATACTTTTCTTTCCTATGAAAGGAGTTAGTAAATTTTATAGCTCTGAGAAACAGGGATGTAGACAAGGAAATAAAATTGAAACAAGCTAAGCCAATCCAAATCTGATCATCAGGATCTCAGACTGCATTTGCTAAGGAAGAGGAAATAGTACTTGAAAAAATCAGGGATTTAAAGCTTCCCAAAAATGATAAACGGTGGATGAAACAAAGAACACTGGAGAAGGAACACGTGTATGAAACCAGTAAGGTTAAGTATTACTACAGGAAGAAAATCACCAGGACAAACACACACCCTCTGCTGGTCATTTTAGGAATTAATTTAATCTTCAGAGTATCCACATGTGTGTGTGGCAGGGAGGCACAATATCATTTTTGAATTACAAAGACTCAAGTTAGAACAATATTTTTCCGTTAAAAATAAATGTTAAGCAAAATAAGCCAGACTCATGAAGATAGGCACCACACATTGTCTTACTGGATAACACTATAAATTTATATCTCTCTCTGGTGTCCCTACTCTCTTCCTCCCAGCACGTGTGTGTGTGTGTATGTGTGTGTGTGCGTGTAAAATCATGAAATTATAAAGAGGATCGTGAAATGGGAAGAAGAAATCTCAAGCGTGGAAGGGAGTAAGGCAAATGGTAATGGAATGCAGGAGGCATACAAGTTGAGGAGGGAAGAATTCAGCTGAAAGGAAGAGGATCAATCAGAGAGAAAGGGGAGCATTGAAGAGGACTCTGAGGGAGAGGGGAAAATAGGAATAAAGGGTAGTGCTGCATGTATATAGAAGATACTATAATGAAATACATTACTTTGTATGCTAACTTTTTAAAACTTTTTTTAAAAACCTACAATTTTCCAAGTAATTTTAAAAGTGACCTGTCAGCCAGTTCACTCACAAGAGAGAAATATCTTCTAATAACTATGGAAAATAAAAGCTTCTACATTACAATCCAGTTCCTTCCCAATGGTTATGGTTCATTTTTCTTGCCATTGTGTTATTAAGGAAATTCCTGGTTCCCTTTTTGAGGCCTTGCTAATAAGATAATTTTAAATGGCCATAGAAGGAATCTTGGAGATCATTTTATTAGAATCTGGAAGGAAAAACAATAGGACAGGCAAGATGTCCGTCTCAGAAGCTGCACAGGGGAGGGAGACAGTGAGGCAGAAGAAAAAGTCACTCTCTTTTGAGTTTGGGTCCATGAAGGCTTGCATGCTTAGTAAATCAACTGCATGGTGAAAGGGGAGGGAGGGGACAGAGGCACCTTCAAACACAGGTAACAAAGCCATGAACAAGCTTAGTCATTTGACTGGGTTCCAAAAAAGGAGGAAAAACAAACCAAAAAACAAAAACAGGCAAGCTTAGCAGTGTGGCATGGGCCACAAAGGGCTTCTATGCAGTATAAGTACATCATCTCAATGAGGAGATAATTATTCCTCCCATCTGTGGGATTGACAGGCCCAGCTGCAGGAGACAGTAGGACACAGCACTCTAATCTTGGGACAGATCAGAAGGCCAAGTCCCCAGGCAGGGCCTGAGTGCCAACTCAGATTCCATTCTTTGGGTCAGGAGGAAAGAACTTTCCCTTAACGAATCTCAACAAATCCTGATATAGTAACTCTTCCATGTATTATCTTAAATCCTAAAAGAGGAAGCTGATATTTCCTTTGTAGTGTCACCAGGGAAATGGATTAGATTTGAAACCAACCAGGAGAGAAGAGGCCATCCTTCAAGGCTTCCAACTCTGACAATATCTATAGTAACTGCACAGTAACAGTGCAAGAAAAAATAATATTAAAATTCAAGTGTTACTAATTTGGATGCAGGTACATTTTCCAATAACAGGCACATAGTTGTCATATGTTCATATTGGGTTTTTTTTTCTCCCCATGTGAGGGTCCAGCTGTTTAGTGTCATGTGAAGGAATGTACATTCCCAGCAATTCAATGACCCTTTCTGTAGATGTCACTGTAACATACAACACTGATATTTTCCCTGGAAACAATCTGCTACACTTTAATCACATCCCTTTACTTTCTCCAGAAATTAAAACCTCAGTACAAAACATTCCAAAACTCTTAATTGTCATGGGGCATACTCATTAGGGTATTTGAGAGATGAAACATTATAAATACCCAAGGAAATATTAACAATATAAGCTAATGAAAATGTCATAAATCCTACTCATGTACCAAAACATATAGCCTAATATGAAAAGCAAAACTAAGTCAACCAAAGTGGAGGTTACATACCTGAGCTTCTGATTGTACTGTCTGACCTTTTCCAGGGAGGCTGTGTTTATCTGGGCTTGAAACTCTTCCACAGACACGTTGTCTCTATAGGAATATCCTTCCATGCTCTCCAAGGCTGCAGAAACACATTAGCCGTTTACACACAGTCTTGAGTTTCTGTGCCTTGCCTCTAATCCTACTAATTTCCAATAGATACACCCGAGTGTCCACTATGAACACATAGGCAACAAAAGACTCCAAAAATGAGTGAAACTGTGCCCTGGGTTCTCAAAATGTATGTCAAACAGTTGTGAAATCTGCTGTTTTGTTAAGTAGGCAAAGAAAATTTCTGGTTTAAACCATCCTCTATTTTTGAAACATTTTGAATGCATTGTAGAAAAATAGACTAAGCTACCCCAAAATATGAAGACTATTTTCAGCTGATTATTTTGAGAAACTGCAGACACAAGAAGTATGCTGAAAACAGAAACTTAGTCTTTTTCTAAGAGGAATTTGTATCCAAAGCAGAAGCCTGCACTGTGTGTGTGTGTACCTGTGCTGCTGTGGGAGGCTAGGGTGAGGGAATGGGGATGGGGGTGAGGGTGAGAGTCTGCCTTTGCATGTACATCTCCTGTTCTGCACCATGAAGAGAAAGGGGAGAAAGCATCTGGTCCCTGCACAAGTCCCTGAAATAAATCCATACAACTCTCATCCTTATTTCCTTGTCATCACTTATAATCGGGCCTTTCTCCATATTTGCTTCCATGGACATGCATAAGTAGTCTCTCTTTTTGCCATGGGATGTATTCTAAGTCATAGCTACAGTAGATGCTGAAACCAGGGATTCTACTAAAGCCTGTGTAGACATACACACTGTACACACAGACACACACACGTGCACGGACACACACACACACACCACTTTTGTAATGTGCTTTCCATTTTCACTAAGAACTTATACACTGTGGATGTAACTTCCACAATGAGATAGTAGAAACACAAGAACAGAACACTTCAACCTCACAATGTTACTCTGTATTTACTTGGTTGAGAGTGTTAACCTTTTTCCCAGGAAGGTGGCATTGTAAGCCTCTCTTTAACACACCCCATTTGCCAGCATCATTATTTTTACATGTTAGGGCCATTACTCATTAAAATCAGGGTTAGTTGAAACTGAATACTGAGACTCTGTATAGTTAATGCCCTAATAACTAAGGTCAACCAAAAGTCTAATGGGTAGATGGCTTATACAAGCATGGATACAATGATCAAAGGCTGATCATTCACAGGTGGGTTAGACAAACATCACACTATTCAGAGTGGTGTGCAAAGGAAACCATGTATTTATTTATTTCTAGTATTCTCCATTTAACATTTTCAGACAAAGATTTCTGGCTGGTACATAACAACACAGAAAGTGAAATGGCAGAGAAGGGGGAGACCAGTAAATCTTAGCATGAAAGCTGAAGAAGGGCTCCTGCTACTTGTCTGACACACTGTATTTTGTGCCACTTTGGCTCCACTTTGCCTCATATAGTAATTTCCTCTAATGTCGCACTCTTCTGTAGTTACTTTAGATCCTGAAATGATAAGACTGCTCAACAACCACCTTTATTATAACTGCCCTCAAGGAACCTACAAGCCATGGGGCATCAGGAGCCCCCATGATGAAATCACTCCCCCAGTGTTAGTTACTGTGGTTGTAACACAAGACCCTGACAAAAAGCAACTTAAAAAGGGTTATTTTAGCTTACAGTTCCAAAAGGGACATAGGCTAGGATGGCAGGGGTGGAGGTGTGGGATGGTGGTGGTGGTGGCAGCAGGGGATCATATTTCAATCACACACAGGAAGCAAAGAGGGAAAACATGAGCCATTGCTGGGGTACAAAACCCCAAAGAAAGCCCATTCCCAGTAACACAACTCCTTCAGGAAATTTCAGTTCCAAAAGCATTGGTTTTCATCTTTCTTAATGCTGTGGCCTTTTAACATAGTTCCTCATGTTGTGGTGACCCCCAACCATTAAATTAATTTTATTGATACATCAGAACTGTAATTTTGCTGCTGTTATGAATTGTAATGTAAATATTTTTGGAGACAGAGGTTTGCCAAAGGGGCTGTGAATCACAGGTTGAAAACCACTGTCCTAAAGGGTTCATAACTTTTCTGTACAGTGTCACTAAGAAACATGTGCTCAAACACTTTTGTATTCAAGCCATCACATTTCCCAAGTAGTAACACCCATGCTGAGTTATCCCCACATGGAAAGCAGAATACTCATCTTGAGTGGTAATGATGATGACTTCTCCAGAAGTCCTTGCCTGCTGTCGCCTATGTGCACTTTAACCTTCTCATTTGTTTCTTATCTACAAAATCTCAAACTTCCTATCAGACCACTAAGACAGTCGCCAGGTCACTTCCCTGCCTCACCTGTACTTCCTTGCATGGCTATACTGATACGTGCTCCCTTCTCTTTAATGCATGCCCTCACATGGCTACACTGATACACATGCTTCTTTCTCTTTACATGCACATCCTCAAATGGCTACACTGATACATGCTTCTTTCTCTTTACACGCACGTCCTCACATGGCTACACTGATATGTGCTTCTTTCTCTTTACACGCACGTCCTCACATGGCTACACTGATATGTGCTCCCTTCTCTTTAATGCATGCCCTCATATGGCTACACTGATACACATGCTTCTTTCTCTTTACACGCACGTCCTCACATGGCTACACTGATATGTGCTTCTTTCTCTTTACACGCACGTCCTCACATGGCTACACTGATATGTGCTCCCTTCTCTTTAATGCATGCCCTCATATGGCTACACTGATACACATGCTTCTTTCTCTTTACATGCACATCCTCAAATGGCTACACTGATACATGCTTCTTTCTCTTTACATGCATGTCCTCACATGGCTACACTGATACGTGCTCCCTTCTCTTTACATGCATGTCCTCACATGGCTACACTGATATGTGCTCCCTTCTCTTTACACGCACATCCTCACATGGCTACACTGATATGTGCTCCCTTCTCTTTACATGCACGTCCTCACATGGCTACACTGATACGTGCTCCCTTCTCTTTACATGAATGTCCTCACATGGTTACCCTGACACACGTTCCTTTCTCTGCCTTTGCCACTGCTTGTCTCTTTTTTTGGTGCAGTGAGACAGAACACAGGGAGAGTCCATGGCACCCTGGGAGATGGTGCCTTTTACCCTAAACTCAAGTAACAGAGTCACCTCCTTGTTCTCTTTTGGCATTGTCTATGTCCATCTGAGCTATACAAGGCTACTCTTTCATTTATCTTGGCCTTAATGATCTGTCTTTGCTACTGGGAACTTTTCCAGTTAACAGTTAATATAAAGGGTGGAGAGAAACTTGTTTTTCCCTTTATAGTATTCTTTATAAAGCTAAGATCAAGCTTCATTATATATATGTATCTATAAATAATATATACAATAATATATACTACACCTTAAATGTATTATACTATATATGCGCACATAGGTATGGTCATGGCATGTATATATGCAGTAGAACTGTGCATTTAGATATATCAGAGTAAACAAGGAGCCCAGAATAGTGGTAGTAAGACAGGATAGAAAGACAGGAAATTGGGGGTATAGAGAAAAGAAAAGGAGACCCTTACCCTGAGGTCTGGTTGAAATCTCTTGAAGCTGAGAGTAAAAAACTCATGCAACATTAACAAAACTTGCTATGAATGTTGCCAACAAAGTTGATTTTCCTTTTATATAGATATATTTCATTTAAAAAATGTCAAAGTAGCCGGGGGTTTGTGGCACACACCTTTAGTCCCAGTACTAGGGAGGCAGAGGCAGGTGGATCTCTTTGAGTTTGAGGCCAATCTGGTCTACAGAGTGAGTTTCCAGGATGGGCTCCAAAACAATACAGAGAAATCTTGTCTCAAAAAAACAAAAAATTGTCAAAGTAGTAATGATGAAGACCTAAATGTACATGATCAAGTACGGTCTTTCTTCTTTTCCAACTGTACAACTGCAGTCATCTGGAAATCTCATGTATGCAAGAGAATTAACACCATTTACAATAAAAACTGTATCTTATATCCCTTGGGTAGTCTTTCTATCCATGTGTGATGGAGAGTTGCAATGGTCAGCTTCACACAATCTAGAATTTGCTGGAAAGATGGTTTCAATGAAAACTTCCCAACTCAGGGCGGCCTGTGGAGATGTCTGTAGGACTTGTTTTGTTTGCATTACCAAATGTAGGAGATGCATCCTGGAAGTGAGCAGCACTGTTCCCTGGGTTTGTATCATGAGTTGTATAATAGTAAAGAAAGTGAATTGTGCAGTAGGAACTCCCTGATTCATTTCTCTCTGCTCTCAACGTTGGATATGGATAGCTACTCCTACTGCCTGTTCTCACTCCCCTCAATGAGGGGCTGGAACCTGGAGCTGTAAGCTTTAAGTTCAGGCTTTGACTTTCCCAGTGATAGAATTGTAAATCAGAATAAACTCTTTCTTTCTTAAAGTTGCCTTTGTCAGGACATTTATCAGTGTAACCGAGCTGAAATTAGAATACCATAGAATCTCATCCAAGGCACTTCAAGATCTCACTCATCAAAGGGTAGAGGAATTGCCTAGAAACATTGAAGCAGTAAATCCAGAAACCACAAAAATCTTCTGTGTGACTCTTCTGAGAATACTTACAGATGGCTCTCATAAAAAGACCTCACCCAATTTTGGGTATATACAAACCCTCCTTCAAGTCCTTCTCTATATTTTTGTCTACACTTAAAACCATGCTAAACATCTTAATAAACCCAATTAGGAATCCTGGCATTGATGGGTAAAGTTCCCAAAATGCTACTCCTTAGTCAGCTCCAAGTAGTAACACAGAGATGTATCAATGGTCCATGTCCTTCTGCCACTGACATCTTTTCTAGTGACTATGAAGGAACACCCTGTGGAGAAGTATTGGTGGTTTTCCTTGACTGTTATTGAACAGCACTACTCTACTCTCCTAGCTTGTATGTCACCTTGGTTTTTCTGTTTCTTGAAGAAAATCAAAAGCCCCACATGATGTCTAATGATTATAACTAGGTCTGAAGACAGGTTTTTGCTAGAATTATCAACAT